AGATGTTCGAATTCCCGTTAATGAAAAACAGCCAGGGACTGTGGTTTCATAGATTACCCTAGCTGTATTTGGAAAAAACTATCAGAATTTTGGGTCATCAATGCTCTTCAACTTCGTTCTTTACTTGGCCTTTTTAACTTTTTTTATTCGAGCGTCACTGATTAGTCTTTTGTAAACAAAACGCGCGTCTGACGTACAAAATTTCAATCCGGGTATCGATGATGAATTTTCAAGCAGGGACAATAACCAGCAATAGATATGGTCGTAGATTCCTCCCATGTCTTCAGATTACTTCCAAGATTTCCTTTGAACATGTAAATATGTCTTGCACCGAACTTTGTCCGTGTCAAGGAGGTGAAGCATGCTAATACGCTTACCGGATTCGCAAACAATGACGAAGAAATTGACATGTAGCTAAGATTCTTGTATATAATTTCCAAGTGTGAAGCATTCTTTTACTGTTTACCCCTATTTGATAAGACCAGAGTTAATATGTGTAGCCCTTCAAAGACAAGTTATATAAGGGTCTTGGCCGATTGTCAAATTACAACATTAGTAAATTAACATTATAAGCAATTACTGTGCTAAAAAATATAATGAGACTACACATTTTTACCAGGATAATCCCACAAAGAGAATGTTAATGGCATAAAACTAATTTCGTTTACACTGAAACAAAGCACGTGCGCATACTTTTTTAAATCTCGCTTTCGCCTCGGCTGACATTATTTTTTCTTTGGGTTATAACTGATCTTTTGACTTTGAGTATGTATATATATATATATATATGATATATGTGAATCTTTTACCACATACTAATTTTCCAAAATACACATCCTGTGTAAGCAAAATGGAAAAACACGGTTTCAGTGTTTGAATTCTGTTTTTTTTTTTTTTTTAATGAAGAAAAATAACTGAAATATATCGAGAAACTGCTGTTTTACAATTTAAAGAAATAATTCTGTTATATGCTGCTGTGAAAAATTATATGCAATGTAAAGTTAATGGATGTGAAAATGTCAAGGCCACATCTACATTTTCTTTGTCATAAATGGGGGAAAAGTCAGAAGATTCATCATTGATGCCATTTTGTAACGACAGCTATTCATACAAATAGCTAAACTTGTCGTTTTGTCGTCCTTTGCAGTATATGCTTGTTATCAAATCGTTTTGTATCATTCTACTAAATATATCTCAGAAAATTCTTTCTTTTTTCGTCATGTTTGAATTTATGATATATTTAAGGTTTGACCTTTGAACTCAATTTCGCAAAAATGTGACATTTCTGGGTTTTTACGACCAAACTTTTCTTATTGTACACATTTTCCCCTTTCCATCGATATGCAATATAAGTGTGTGTTCTTCCGATACATTAAAGTTTAAAAATATGAATTCTTGTTGCAGTACTATAGCCCACAGATCGAGTTTTAAAGGGGAGGGTTGCGATATCAAAAGCTAGCTTAACCCTACCATCTACTATTCATGTCTGTCCATAGTAAGGAATCTTGTCAGTAAATGTCATTTTAATAGCTAAATGCTTAAATTTGTCATTTTTGGGAATTTCATGAATGGATGTCAGATCTTTGATAGTCTCTATTAAATGTATTCGCAACCTTTTAGATCAGGCGATTTAGAGCTGTAAATCGTTCCAAACCGTATGTTGACTTTTATATTTTATTTGGACTTTTTGTCATTGGGTTGCTGTCTCATTGGCGTATACATAATATCTTCCTTTTTATACTATGGTCTGATCATGCCAAGTAAAACTACCAAACGGAGATATTAATATATATCTTCACACTTTAAATCAAAAATACAAAATTTGTTGACCTTAATTTTTAAAATATAAAGATTGAGAAGTTACTTAAAGAGCAACCAGAAACCATAAGTCAAAGACGTTTGTGTCGACAAATTTTCTCATGTGTAGAATATCAGTCTTGTTTCGTGATGTAAAGCCCCAAAAATCAGTCTCGTCAAACACTGAAATAAAGGTGCTTTATTACATAAAGTGAGAATAAATATTGTCAAGTTTCGATCCATTCAATGTAACTATAGAAGATTTTGGATTGATAAGGTAACCAATATGTACAAATATAAAATAAGATGTTGTTGATTGCCAATGAAACAACTCTCCACAACAAACCAAATGACGTAGAAGTTAACAACTATAAGTCACCGTACGACCTTCAACAATGAGCAAAAACCATACCACATAGTAAGAGATAAAGGGCCCCGAAATGACAAATGTAAAACAATTCAAACGAGATTTATGTACAAAACATAACGTGAAAAACAAATATATGTGAATATCCCTTTATCATCAAACAATTATGAGCAAAATTGAAGTAGTTTTACTAACATGATTTTCTTGGACCAAAACCGGGGGTTAAGGTCTCTCTTTTCCTTAAGTTTGTAGAATTGTATTGCTGATCATTTTTGCTGCTTAAAAGTTCTGTTTATCTTATTATATTTTTTTAAGATATGAGATAAAAACACTTAGATTGGTCATAAATCGTCATTTATGGTCACTTACTCTTATAGTAGTGAACTGACGATTTCAAATATTTTGATTAATTTGTAAATCTTTTTTTGTCGATCTATCAATTATTTTCAAGGTAATAGGCGAAAATGACCCAAAGTCTTAACTGTTCATGTTGCACAGAAATATTCTTGCATAGAAGGGAATGGTCTAGATCTTTTTTTTTTTTTTTTAATATATGGTAATATAAAAGTTTCTGTTTCTGTCTATCTATAGTAGTTTTTTTTTCAATATAAAAGACTAAAATTGTTCACAAATCATCATGTATGGACAGTAACTTCTATAAGGAATCATCTGACAACTAACAAGATTTTGTGAGGTAGACGAAATTGACCTTAAAACGATCGTATTGAATTTTTATGTCCAAAAATAGGCAGATCGGACATATTTTGACTCTAATTACTGAAAACTTTTGTTTGGGATTAATTGTAATTAGAACATGATAATGAGACTGGAAAATGTTTGTGTTTTTTTTTTTATAAGATAAACATTTTTACCTGGCGTAGCCGTGCGTAAAATTTATTTCGGCATTTCTCTTAGAAAACTGACATGTTTAATGGAATAAAACGTCTGATTTGTAAACTTTCTTTTTTTTTCTCCAGAATAGGCTATTAAAAAATAATTTATCTACTCTATATGTGGAAAATTTTGTGAAAACATTAGAAGTGGCGATTCTTACCTTTCATACCTTCAGTTTCATTGATAAAAAAATAATAAACTCGTCCAGTTTGAAGGTCAGTTAAGTTCATGTATGTTCTGATTTAATCAATATACGTGTATGAAAGAAATAAACAGTTTGAAGGTATAATAATAACTTAATCCAATCAAATTGCGTAAGATTCAATAACAATGACCGGTACACATCATAATAAGTAATAGGGGTAAACTGGGTAGGGAGAAAATGACAGATATTTTAAGTTCATTTTTTGCAATAACGAATAAAGATTTGTCCACCAAAAGTTTTGCTATAATTTCAAAAACATGTCGTTCTGTATTGGTATAGTTTTCGGATCTTTCACTTGTGTATTTAAGGCAACAGAAAGTTTGGGCTTCAAAAGTCTACATAGTTATTGACTTTATACAGAAAATTCGCCCTTTTAAAACATTCAGTGTTTCACAAATAATACATGGATACAAAGTCAAATCATTTCTTAAAACACTGCAAAAAAATTTCATTCTGATTGGTATAGTGGTATTGTCATAAAGTGCGTTGAAATGAACCGTGGTAAAGCAAACATCGAATTCCCTCACAAAATGTTATCATACACTATAGGTAGATCTTGACACTCTGAGCACTTATGCCCCTACCAGATAATTCTATCTGTAAGGGATTAATGGTATTTTTACGCTGTTCTTTTGTTTTGCCATGTCGACAATGATGGTTGGCAAGCGGTATCATCAGACACATATTTCAATTAGACCCTCAGAGGATAGTTCCAATTGGCACAGTGGTTCCAGAGAAAGAATATTTGTCTTCTGGCAATAGCTAACACTAGCCTTTTGGGCCAAGTGACCTAATAAAAGGATAATGGAGTATACATCAATGATAGAGCAGCCCTGATAAAACAGCTTGTTAATCATCAAATATGGTAAAAGCCAGACAAACCCTATGGACAGATGTGTACACTTTGCAATGATTATAAAGATAGTTGACCTATGACTTACTGTTCAAAACTAAAAATATGACCTGGTCATGAAAACACTTAACAAGGAAATTTGTCCAAGTCAAATAAACCTTATCTGACAGACATGTTAACCTTACATGGACTACAAAGAGCAAATATAGTTCAACTATTACTCCAATTTAGTGAAAAAAATCATGGAACCAAAAAAATCTATAGTTATCTACACAGTCACGGAACCATGCAAAAGTGGTCAAATACTGAAAACCAAGAGCATTAGGTATATGGATTCTGGAAATAAAATTTCTAGCTCTTCTACCTTCTAAAATATAAATCAAATAGTTTTGCCATTGTCTGTACCAATGACAAACCTCAATCATACTAATAATAATATATTCTGGTCACAGATAAATCCATTCCAAGCTTTGGATAGAATTACATTGTGAAAGTCAGCTAAAAATCCCCCTGAAGATGAGGTATTTGTGAAAAATCCATGTTAAGAAGTTCAATAACCCAATTAATTCAGACCATACAGATTATTGATATTCCTACTTGCAAGGGCCTAAACTCCTCATGCAATAAAAACGTGTCATGAATCCTAGATTCTAATTGGTACTTTCTAGAATAGAGCAGATCAGGTGACAGCTCATTTGAACACAGGTAAACACCAAGTTTTGATTTAATCTAATTGAGGAGTTTTCATTGACTAGCAGAATATCAAGACAGAATTAAGAATTAAACAAAATAGTATTGAACTTCAAGTAAGATGAGATTCATTCTTTCTGAAAACTGAATATTATATAACATTTACAGAAGTGTAAACATAACAGACTTGAAACAAAGATATTTATTTATTTATTTATAATCAAAACAACAACAATTTGCAAGATTTGGATAAGAAAAAGAAATAATTACAATAATCACTTTTTTCAATTTCATTCATAAAAAATATTACCTTTACATGACAACTATAGTAGATCACAACTTCTCCATGATTGAAATAAAATCTAAAGTCAAAGTATCTAACAAATTTGTTTTGTAATAATGAAAATACACAAGTTTAATATCTAATTCCCTAAAATATGAATGAGTGGTTTTGTAGTTTAACAATAATATAAAGTTAATTTTTTCATGTAAACATGTATTGGATTTAAAATCTAAATTAACACTTAATTCATGGCAATGTATTTAAAGAATATACTTTCATTGAAAACATATAAATGCTGATTTTAACATGTAATTGTGTAGTCTACTACAATCCTTTAATACTAATACTTATATTAAATGTAGCAAAGAATATAGCTTTAGAAAGTTGAATTAACTGTTTTTCAATATGAAATACCAGTTGCTGTAATAGACGATATATCCAACATGCTTACTTGTCAATTAAAAAACATATATTCAAATAAATATATAGAGTGTGTGTGTTTATATACAATTAAAAGAAATAGCTTATACTTATTTTGTTTGTTAATCTAACCAATAACACCAATAATCTATAGATAAAATATATTCATTAGTCATACCTTACCCAACGTTAACCAAGTCATTTATGCCTCAAATCTACTTTATTCATTCATCAGATTTCCCAATGAATGGTCAATTCACTCATTTATGACTACACATGTATGTATTTCAACATGTCAAGTGAAGTATTAAATTATATGTGCATCAATTGTCAAAAGCTAAAACAATTTATTGTATTAAAGTCATAAAAGCGTATTTTTCTAAGATATTTCGTGTTAATTTGGCCAAAATGCAGCTTAAACAATTCTTTAGTGGTCACTCTATATTTTGAAAAAGTTGTTGATTAACAATTTAAATGAAGGAACAAAGTTTGTGTCAGTTTTCAGTAATTTGTTATTGCCAAAAGGTACAGTAACAAAAAAAAAAGTGTATTTATCATGACACTTTTCACATCAATGATGCTCTGCTTAATAGTTGAGGACTACATTTTTATTTTATCATTGTTTTATAGTGATATTTTAAATTTAAAGCTCTTTGTGTCACATATTTTAATGTTACATATAAAAGCAAATCACACTGCATTAAAAATATTCATGAAACATTTTCCATACAATAAACAACATAAATTGTATAATTGTTAATTCTTTAGATAGATGATAGATGATGTAAACCAGTGTGGGAGAATTTACATAGTAAAAATAACCATCCCAGTTACAAGCAGTAGAGGATTTCATTATTAATCATTTATGACATCTATATTATAAACTTCCACAAATATTTCACAGCATTTAAAAGTTCTTGAAAATACTTGTTAGTAATAGACTAAGCAGAAACCTTACATTCATTCCTACAATTGTATTTAAATTCAAATAAATCAAATGCAAAAGTCCTACACTAAAGGACACCTGCCTTGCATCCTTTGTTACTTAGCCCTAACTAGTACCCTCAAATCACACCTTAAGGATGTACTTAGGTCAAGTTTAGGAATTTTTATCAGATGTTCGGACACCTGGGTTTTTTTCCTACGATACATGGTAAAATATTTTCCCCATAACACCCATTTTTTTTTTCATATAAGACTTCAATAGCTCATATAAAGTCATTTATCAAAATTTAAGCAGATTCTAGATTTCTTTTCTTTAGATTTCAGACCCAAATAATACCAATGCAAATATAAGGTAAAAGTCTGAGTCAGCCTTTTCCCACTATTTTTTAAAAATTAAATATCTCGAGAAGGAGCTCCATTACCTGTCAATAATTTTAGCTTATTTTGTTCCCTAACTAATGCTCTTCTGACTAATAGTATCAATTTTAAATTCTAGATTTTTTTAACTTCACCTAAGTACATCCTTAAACTAGATAATTTAAATTTACTAAAAATGTAATTCAAATTCTTTATATGCAAGACTGTTTCAAAACTAATATTGCAATCCATTAAAATATATACGGAACCCGGGGAATGGCAATATGAAAATAGGGTAACCACCCATAGAAAGGTCTAAACCCGTAAAACACATCATTTCACGCCAACCCATAATGGCAAATTCAAGTTCCCATCCCAGGGTTCCATGTATGTTTCATGATGGAACATCCCTTGGAAAATTTGGCTATTTTCTTTGTATTGGATGCATGTGTGGGAAGTCAAAAAATATGTTAAAAGTATGTGAATATTTTATACAATGACCCAAAATATATCTCTGTGTATCACTGAGGATATTAAATCTTTTTTAATATAAAAAACTAAATCCCAACGATGTTCTACTTTATATTTTAAAGTATCACTTGCACATTTATTAACAGAACTATAGCAAGCGAAAACACAAATGCATAAGTTTGGCTCATGTAAAAGAGATATAAAAAAAATCATGCTTCTCCCAAGTCTTCTAATTGTTTCTGAATATCTCGTTCTATTGCTTTGTTTCTGTCTACAAATCCCAATCTTCCCTTACCAAATGAATTAGGTCCAGCAGCTGTTGGTGTTTCTCTGTAAAACAAAAAAAAGATGATAAATAAAATGAAACTAAGAAAATGCATGATTTGTCAAATGGTCTAGTAAGTACTTAAATGAAGGAGTCATCTATACAATCAAGTTGTTCTAAATCTATAGTCAAAATGGTTATTGCAGCAAAGGTGGAAATTTAACTTGATCAGTATTTAATGGAAGGTAGTAATGTCTGCATTTTATGGTAAATGGTAATGTTGAAAAACATATTCATACCCTGATTCATTTAGAAAGGTTTTAGATGCTCCATTCAGGAGGATGATACAGGATTTGATGTTAGGGGAGGCACATTACAAAGAATGTTGGCAAGCAGAGCAAGACAAAACAAAATTAAGTATCTAATGTAATGTGTACTTAAGGGTATCTTTCCTCTCTGTTAATTTACAAAAAAGAAACAAACCTGCCAATATTTTTCATTCTCATTTTGGCTTCAAATGGCATTTCTTCTTCGTCATCACTCTAAAAATAACAAACAAGGTATATTATTTTGGAAAATCTACATTATCAACTCAACATAAGGTGGTCAGTAATGTCCCCTGTGGACATTATCATATTGACAACATTTACCATAAGATACTTTCTCAATGTGACTGGATCACAAATATAATATTCTACCTCCATATGTCCTATTCTAAGTCAAATTTAAAAAAAACGTGTTTATTTAATACGCCAGTTCCAAGATACGGTAGTTAGTTGAATCTGTCATGTGACTTCCATATCCACGTGACTAAAATGTAGGCATCATCACTTCCAACACATGCTGAGCGAACGGATGAAAAACTTTGATGCTATACTGCACAAAATATTCTGGAAATGAAAATCTAGTTGGTCACCCTCCCTTCAGTCATACGGGAATTGAGATTACGTACTAACGGAACATAAATTATTTCTGGACTACTCTGCAGAATAACGATCCTGAAAATGCTTGCAACTTTAATAGTGCAGGGATACAGGCACACCTTCTATCTGGTAAATGACGTCATAATGGCGTGCTTAATTGACGATCTTTTCCGGTGAGAACATGATTTGAGAAATAGCCTATTTAGTCCCTTATCACCAGGTTTGTACTTACATGAGCAAGATGTGGTGCAGGATCTGCTTACCCTTCAGGAACACCTGAGATCACTCCCAATTTTTGGTGGGGTTAATGTTGCTCAGTCTTTAGTTTTCTATGTTGTGTTTTGTATACTGCTGTTTATTTTTTGGTCTTTTTTGTCATGGTGTTGTCAGTTTATTTTCGACTTATTAGTTTGAATCATTGAATGTCCCTTTCGTATCTTTTGCCTCTCTTTTATACTCTACCTCTATAAACAAACCAAATAATTTTTTTAAGAGTTTTACTATCAGTTCATAACTAATTTCATTCATACTGTAATATCAATTTCATAAGACAATGTTACCATTTTATGATTTTTGTTGAATATGTCCAATGTCTAATCTCATATTACATGTTAACTCTGCATTGTATTTATACACTCCCAAATAACAAATCACGCCATGTTTTTTGTCACAGTAATCTAAATTTGCTTTTGATATCAATGTTGTGTGTGAATGACAGTACAGCATCTTTTTGTATTTGTTTTCTCTTGTCTTTTTTTTAATTTTAACATTACAATTGTCTGTTTTGTGTATTTAGTTATTGTTATTTTTCTGAAATAACTTTTTGATCATACCTCATCCTGATTAAAAGCTTTGGCGATAGCAGCTGTCTGTGGTTTAACTGGAATAGGCTCAGTCTTTTTCTGGAGAAAAAAATTGTTTTGTCCTTAATAGTAGCAAAAGTCTCATTATTATTAATGGGGTAAAAATTATTCATGATGTGATTGAAAAGTAACAACAATTGTATGTAGTAGACAATCACATTTTTTTGTGCCTTTTACAGTTTAAAAAATAAGAAATGATAGTTCCAGTATGTGATACACAAATTACCCATTTTTGTGGAGTTCATAGTTCAGTTTTAAGGAATGATAGTATTTGAACATATATTGCAGATTACATTTTTTAATTGTATTACTTTTATTTTACATTTCATACAGGGTTGAAACACACAATGACTTGTTGGTGTTCCATACCACATTGTAATATGTCTAAAGTGTGATGCATATCTATTTTAATGAGTGTATTTGTAAAACACTTCTTCACCTTACTGTCTATTTTTTGCAAGGTAGTTAACTCCAAAATTATAATTCTAACCTGCATATTTGTGTGTATATGTGTTTAAATTTAGCAGACTACCATTAAATAAACATGCATCTTCGCTAGCCAAGGGTTACGATCCAGTCCCCTCCACTCCACCCATGGCTGATTTAGATAGAATTTCAGATCCACGAGGTAATGGTTTCCATTTGTCGCAGTTATAACTCGCTGCATCCGATCAAAAAGCGCTTATACGATGATCATGTGTAAATGTAGAAAATGTAAATTAACAATTGCCACATGCTGATTGTACAAGTCTTTACCCCCAAAACATAGGTCGATATTAAGTGACAATTTTAAAGTTCTTAATCAACTAATTGAAGTTCCTCGGTATGTTTCTTGTGGAAATGTTGGAATGGCAACGTATATTTTCTGTTCCTGCTTCACGAAATTTGCAAACACAAGACATAACCATTTTTAAAACTCCACATTGAAGAGAGTTCAAGTGCTGCCATTGGTCAAGAATGATGTAGTCGGAATGGGCATTACTTTATTTTCTGTTAGATTGCGCAGCATTGTAATCACAAATGTTGGCTTAATCTGCCAAGGGTGGAGAAGAGGGAACTGGATCGTAACACTTGGCAAGCGAAGATGATATACATGCAGTTGCATGAAATATTTAAATCAAGATACTTACACAGATCAGGGTATACTACATAATCATCTATTGGTCCCAGCAGAGATGTCAAATTTGAAGATCTACTTCTTCAAGTAACAATTTTAAATGACCTACTTCCTGATATTAATTGTTCCATGGTTAATTAAAACACTGTTGGTTTGTGGGGTATAAAAATTTATAGTTTTAAGACTTTCTTGCAATGTAAAATATATACTAGATACATGATAAAACACTAAGGACACTCTTATTCAGTTTCATGTATTTAGCACTTTCAGCACTATATGCTATTTCCTGGTGGACATGTATCTTACACCATATGATTTGCTCACCAAACTTTTGTATTATGTAGACAGAAATGAAACAGTGTTAAAGATGGTCTGTTTTTATGGTGCTTATGTTTCACCAATGTTAACCCTTTTTCCTTCATACAAATATGTCAAATACCTGAGTTGAGAGTGATATTTTGACAGGTGCTGCCTTTATCAGTTGTGCTGTGTCTTTGCTGCTAGCTGACAAATCTGTCTTTTTCTTTATCCCAAAACTCATGGTAATTTTCTTCTTTTCCACTGGTTCGCCATCACCTTTCTCTTCAAACTTCCTCTTCTCTGCACTCTGTGAAGTACTTTTGACATCGACAGCCCCTGATTAATGGTAAACTGGGAAATTTGAAACACTAGCTTTTTTTTAAAGATGAAGATTCTGTGAATGGGAGAAATATAAAACTATGTGAGCAGCTTATTGTTTTCAGAGGCTCAATTTAGTGGGCTTAATAAATGTACCTTTTAAATGAAAAAAAAAAACGTCTATTTTACAAACCACATATTCTAATTTTTTTAATTTTCTATTAGATCAGATCAATACTATCATTCATGTGTATGTTTTGTTCCTGTATCATGTGTATGTCGAGTGAAATTGTTTGTGTATACTATATAAATTCAAATCCACAGTCCCACATGCATGCATGACTGCAGAAGACAATACATAATTATGTCATTTCAGAGATTACTGTCTTCATGCACAAATTACTTATTGCATTTTTTTTTTTTTGGCAAAGTTTATTATTACAATTACACTTTTTTATATGTACTTGTAGTAAATACTTATGCTAAACAGTAACAAGTAAAATTACCTGCACTATAGCTATGTAGTCTAGTTTTTCATTTTTACCGATAATGTTTTTATAATAAAAAAATAGTATATGCATGTTCTTTAGTCAACTTAATATGATTTTATAGTTTTCAATATCTTTTAAACATTCTTTATGTGCTTGTCCCAAGTCAGGAGCCTGTAATTCAGTGGTAACTATTGGTTAAAGTCTGTCATATATGTGTTTTTCGTAAATTGTATTGTTATAAATTATTTTGTAAATTGTATTGTTATAAATAAGGCTGTTAATTTTCTCTTTTGAAATGTTTCTCAAAATTACCATTTGTCGCCCTTTATAGCTGACTATACGGTATGGGTTTTAAATGACTGCCAAATTTTTGCGTTCGTATAATGTTATCACGTTGTCAGCGTCGTCGTAGTCTGAAGACATTTGGTTTCAAGACAATAACTTGAGTAGAAGTGTATGGATCTCTATGAAATTGTATCACAAGGTTCCATACCACAACAGGAAGGTTGTGATTGATTTTGAGGGTTATTGTCCTAACTGTTTAGGAATTAGGGGCCAAAAACAAGCATTTTACTTGTTTCAGGACAATAACTTGTGTATAAGTGTATGGATCTCTATGAAATTGTACCACAAAGTTCCATACCTCAAAAGGAAGGTTGGGATTGATTTTTGGGGTTATGGCCCAAACCATTTAGGAATTAGGGGCCAAAAAAACTAGGGTTTTCATTTTTCCGTACAATAACTTGAGTATAAGTCTATGGATCTCTATGAAATTGTACCACAAGGTTCCATGCCAAAAAAAGGAACGTTGGTGGTTATGGCCCTAACTGTTTGGCAATGTTTGGGAAAAAGGGGCCAAAATTATTTTTTTTTATACTTTATATAAATTGCTTATTTCTTGAGCAATTTCAATGGAGTTCTTTAATATGCTGAATCTAACCTTGCATTTAGATTTTGGATTTTTGAACCCTGTTTTTAAATTGGTCCACTTTGAGGTCCAAAGGGTCTAAAATTAAACTTTGACTTCAACAAAAATTTTATTCTTGGGGTTCTTTGATGCTGAATCTAACTGTGTAATGTAGATTTTTGATTTTGGGCCCGGTTTTCAAATTGGTCCACATTAAGGTCCAAAGGGTCCAAAATTTAACTAAGTTTGATTTTAACAAAAATTGAATTCAAGGGGTTTTTTTTATATGCTGAATCTAAATGTGTACTTAGATATTTGATTTTTGGGCTGAGTTTTCAAGTTGGTCCAAAATTAAACCTTGTTTGATTTCAACAAAAATTTAATTTATGGGGTTCTTTGATCATGTTGATATGCTGAATCTAACGGTGTATTTAGATTTTGGATTTTTGGCCCCATTATCAAATTGGTCCACATTGAGGTCCAAAGGGTCCAAAATTAAACTTCATTTCATCAAAAATTAAATTCTTGGAGTTTTAGAAATTATGTATAAATATAAAATTATTAGAGGTAAGTTTTAAAGACTTTATGAAAGACATTGTATTAATGATGAATGATATTTATTTTTTTTATTTTTTTTTTGTTAATTTTTTGAAGAACTTCGTGGTAGGTTTGTTTGTTATTCTGTAAAGATTAATTTTCAGAATGCTATATATGTTTATTTTTATTTTTTATGAAGCAAACCCCTATAAAAACATAAAAAAGGTAATATTGTCCATTAATAAATAAATAAATTAAATTCTTGATGTACTTGGATATATGCTGAATCTAACTGCGTATTTATATATATAAATATTTTGGATATTGGACAATACTAGGTAAAATTCTATTTCAAATTTTTCAGTTCATTGACCACATTCATTCTGTGACAGAAACCTATGCTGTGTCAAATATTTAATCACAATCCAAATTCAGAGCTGTATCAAGCTTGAATGTTGTGTCCATACTTGCCCCAACTGTTCAGGGTTCAAACTCTGCAGTCGTATCTAGCTGCACCCAACAGGGAGCATTTTATTTTCCTTGTTAAAGGCGGTATGGTGACCTATAATTGCTTATATCACATCATTCAACTGGGATGGATAGTTGTCTCATTATCAATCATAGCACATCTCCTTTCTATATTAGTTGTCAAGTTAATGTCCAATAAAGGATTACTCATGACCACTGATGTACTGTTGTAGACACCTCGTTAACAAGACATGATGGCAAAAAAATATGCAAATATGCAAATGAAACACAGCTTCAGCCTGATGTTGGCAGGGAAATGTGGGAGCTGATTTCAACCAGAAGAAAGCCAGTCGCTGGTAAGGAGCTTAGTAGATATTAATGGATTCAGTCTATCACTATCAGACGAGGAAAGACTGTGGTGGAATGCATGTCGTTTCGTAACCTGGTCGTTTCGTACCTGGTCGATTCGTAACTACGTTGTTTTGTAACTGAAACGTTTCGTACCTGGTGTAATTATATATTGTTATAAAGTGATAGTTTAAATTAATTAGTTTAAATGAAACAGTTAAAGTTATTATTTAAAAATGATCAAAATGTTCATCTAATAATAACAATATTGTAATATTTTTAATTTAAAACTTTCTCAACTCTTTTTAATTATTGGCTAATGGGCTAATTTGTAATTACGCTCGGTGACAGCTTTAATGGTTTTATGACAACTAATGACAGGTAATAAAAAGTAAAAATATAAATATTTTCTCCTTTTTTTTCACTTTTACATGCAATTGCATAACCCTCCTCCTTTTTCACCCGGGCTTTTTTTTTAAGAACACTTTGGGTGTTAAGGTCGTTGTGCCATCCCTCTATGTCGTCATTGGTGCGGATGGATTGCATAAACACACACCAGCTTGCAATTGGCCACAGGCTACTGTTTATCCAACATTTTTTAACATAGCGAAGAACTGTTTAAAATTCTTCTGTTCTATTCGCATGTGTGCAAAACTGTACTTGTAAAGTAACTGCGAGTACTCTCAGATCTGTACTTAGTGTCTTTTTGTTGTTTGGATGTACGACTACCCGGCCACGTCCACTTGTATTTGTATTTTATCCATCTGATGAGTTAAGCCTCTTTCAACTGATTTTTATACTTTGTTCTTATGTTGTACTGTTACACCACTGTCCCAGGTTAGGGGAGGGTTGGGATCCCGCTAATATGTTTAACCCCGCCACATTCTGTATGTATGTGCCTGTCCCCAAGTCAGGAGCCTGTAATTCAGTGGTTGTCGTTTACATATTTGTTATTCGTTCATTTTTTGTACATAAATTAGGCTGTTAGTTTTCTCATTTTTTTACATTGTCATTTCGAGGCCTTTTATAGCTGACTGTGCGGTATGGGCTTTGCTCATTCTTGAAGGCCGTATGGTGACCTATAGTTGTTAATTTCTGTGTCATTTGGTCTCTTGTGGAGAGTTGTTTCATTGGCAATCATACCACATCCTCTTTATTATATTGTAAAGTGTAAAATTATGTGCAATCAATTATTTAATGAAGAAATATAGATATATTATTTTTTACGTAACCTACGACTCATTTTGTTATTATATATTGATATAAGGTTACAGAACGTCTCAGGTACGAAACGACCTAGTAAGTAAAAAAATGTAAGTTTAGTTACGATTCGACTAGTTACAAAACGACCAGGTTACGAAACGGCCTGCACCCCTGTGGTGGCCTGTAAAATAACCTGCCTGCCATGGCAAGCAAGGCTTAATATTATTATTAATAATAATTATTTGGACTGATAAACAGATAAATAATGCCAAGAAGTCAATTTATGTATGACGCCTTTGAAGGTTATTCTAAATTTGCTCTGTCGCATAAAAATCTAAAAGTAACATCATCAGTCATGATAATTTATTAGGACAATGTCAAATTATGAGACGTCTGCGCGTCTACGCCGTAGACTACGGTATAGCCAGTGTGACTAATGAATAGTGATATACTCTGTTTTCTCAACGGAAAAATGCATAATTGAAAGTTAAATTTTCAATGTGAAAATGAGAATGCAGTATCTCTTCGTAATATACTAAATCTCCTATATTTTTTCTACCTGACGCATTTTCGGCCATCACAAAAACAAGGGCGACAATCGTAAAGCTATAGGCGCACGCTTGTTTCAGACATCATCTGTGTCTAGTCGGAGGGGTTACACCAAAGACCAAAAAGTGGACATGAAAAGACCCGAATAGACCTGAAAATATATGATTCGATTTATCGTAATCACAATAACTTTTTTTTTGTTTTAGATGGATTGTTTTCAAGTTTTCAAATTTTAATAAAGGTAAAGATAAATATCTTATCAAAATTTTTAAAAATAATGAAGAAAAAAAAATTGCGATGCCATATGATGGATAAACGGCAAGTCACAGTCTTACTATATAAATCCTTGCCTAAACGAAGAAATGAAAAGACCTGAACGGACCTGATAATATATGGTCAAACTTATTCAAACTTCTGTACATGCAGTTCAGTAATGGTATCATATTTTGTAAATCATTTTCCCCTTCAGTCATATCGTGCATGGAATTTACTGGCGTTAGATGATCAATTCAGTCATCTCTAGATTTCAAAAATACTTTCCGAAGAAATGACTTTTTCTTTTTGCCGTGTACTTCAGTAACTATTACGTTACTGGAAACAGGAGAGTAAAAATATAGCTAAGCATACAAAACAACAACAAAGATGTAGTCCCAATAAAACTGATTTATACAGATTAAGGCAAATTTTGTAAACGACCCAAGTTGTGCATGTTGGTGTCCATTTTAAGATTCAATCCTTCTTTTTCTTAGAATATCCACTCTATACATAAATTCTAGAAATCAGATTTTTGAAAATATCCAACACTTGGTTATTATTTCCATAGAACATTTTTTTTATTTAAATATACTTAAAATTTAAAATATATAATTGTTGTCATCTTGAATTTTTTAATATTGTAATTATTTGAGGGGATTATGATAAGTTGTTATATCTTTTATCCAATCCTATTCTTTAGACAACAAAATATGTTTAAACTAGTCTGTGCAAACAATATCAGTAAAAATATAAGCTTATAAAGCTTTCGTTTCAATGTCTCCACAAGCACCACAAAGAATCTATAAAAAAAATGTGAAGGTTTGTCATTATATAGACAGTCGCACTAAAGGCAGTTATAAAAGGGAGAATGAAAACAAGCCACATTTCACCGTGGAAAATTTCTTTCATATTTCGTAAGTGAAAATATCACTTAATAAAGTTTGTGCGTTCGCAGCGCTCGCTTTTCTGGATTAATTGTACCTTCATCATGAATGGTCAAACATAAACATTTTGTATGTGGTTCTGTGTTCCGCCTGGTTGCCACAAATCAATAGACAACAGTCTAGCTAATCTTTATTTTTTTCATAGATATCCGTTTTTAGTTCAAGTATTTAAATTGTCCGAATTCTGTGCTAAAATGCCTTTTTTTAAAATTAATTTCGAATTGTCTATATATTTTTTTTTTATTAAAAAATGCATTAACATTATGATTATCCGTATAAAATTTACATACAAAAAAGTCAAAATTCTATTGCAAAATGCAAAAATAATTGCATAGGACCTGAGATTACTATACTTGTCAAAATAAGTTTAGTAACACAAGTTCTGACTGAAAAAAAAGTAAAACCAAAATCTAGATTTATCTTTCAAGTTTGTGTTTTCTTAATCTTCGGTCATTTGTGTATTCAAAAGTACTACAGGTATGCTGGTCAAATTTCCAACAAGTACAGTAACACTGTTCCTAAAGGGAAGGGATCAAAATTGAAAAAGTCACAATTTAAGCAATATTTTGCACATGGTCTAGTTAAAGAACGCATACAACAAACAAAATGGACGTCGACGAACTGTTGAATCTGATGGTATAATTGATTCCATGAATAGAAAACTACCCCCCCCCCCCCCACCCCACCCCCTTCTCCCTAAATCTTTATCATAATTCTTTAGTTTACTTCTTTAATCGTTAATCAACTCTCAACTCAAAACAGGAATTCTGTTCATTTCACAATGAATTAATCTCAATGGGAGTGCTGCAAACTTTTCTTTGAGTAGACCATATATAACACATGGTGTTGCCTCAGTTGGGTATCAAATGCACTTGTGCTCAACGTGTTTGGTTACTGAAAAGATTGTCCCATATTGCGCATGAAATGTTGATACATTTTTGAACGATTCCATGCACTGTTTATTGTTTCCAAAGAACTTTTTTAATTTTGATATACGTTTGATTGATTGATTGTTGGTTGCTTAACGTCCTGTGGCAAATATTTCATGCATGTTCAGGGCGAGATATACGTACGTTTGATGAGTAGATTGTGAAATCAAATTTGAGACAATTCGAATGACGTGAATTTGGCATTTGATAACACTTTAAACTATTGCATTTGACAAAATAAATGCAAATGCACATCGTCTTAGAATAATTTAATTTTTCTGGAGAAATTGCACTGTCTTTGCAACGGAAAACCCGAGTATAATTTAGATATCTTTGACAAGTATTTACCGTGAGTGATCGATGTTGTGGAGATTTTTGCTGCATATTGATACAAAAAAATGGGAACAGAATGTTATGCTCTTTCAAAATACCAAAATAAAAGTATTTCTCATCTAGACCTTACCATTTTACAAAAATCTGCCGATTTCGAGTACACTAGTCCGGCGTCACCGTCGCATGATATTCCAATAGCAAAAGTATTGAGGAAACTAAATTTTACAAAAAAATTCATATTCTTTAAAAGATCTCTTATCATTAGATATTGTGTTTATCTCGAATATTACATGAATTGTCGACTAGGTTTGTTGGAATCGACTTAGTGACAAATTCAAGTGTAAAACTTTGCTGCACACCATTCGATTTTGTTGATTTTTATCTCGTTTAGCTTTATAATATATGGAGAATTGGACTATCCCTGTGACGTATAGTTATTTTTATATCCTATATGCTGTATGCCTAGCGGAGAAGCAGCAAATACCAATTTTCAAGTTTTTGGTTGAACCTGGCCTGGCATATAGCTGCATTGTCATAATTTTTCAGAAAGATAAGCATTTTTTAATACATAAAATGAGGCAAAAGTTGACAATGTGAATGTCAGTAGGTCACTTAAATCACACAATTTCTTTTTAAATTGCAATTAAATATTTTTGTTGAATCTTATTCAGTTTGAGTTAATATCATTCAAATTGAAATTACCAGATCTTGTTTTGCTGATCATTTTTGCAATATAAAGTTTATCTATTATAGTTTTCAAGATAATAGGCAAAAATGAAAAAAATGGTAAAATTTGTCATTTAAGGGCAATAACTCCTATAAGAAGTCCCCTAACAGTCTTGATGTAATTAAACAATTGGTAGAGCTCAACATACTGAACATTTCTGCCCTTGTCAGGTTTTCAAAATATTAGACAAAACTTGCATTTTTACCCGTGTTCTATTTTTAGCCATGTCTGCCATCTTGGTTGGCAGACGGGGTCATCGGACACATTTTTAAAACTTGATACCCTAATGATGATTGTGGCCAAGTTTGGTTAAATTTGGTCCAGTAGTTTCAGAGAACAAGACTTTTGTAAAAGCTAACGGACGACAGACAACCGATGCCAAGTGATGAGAAAAGCTCACTTGGCCCTTTAGGCCAGGCGAGCTAAAATAAAATGCTCCGCTGGGCGCAGCTTGATACGAACCCTGAACAGTTGGGGCAAGTATGGACACAACATTCAAGTATGACACAGAATGAATGTGGTCTAAGAACTTAAATTTTTTTAATTTACCTATTCAAACCATATCATTATTATTTGCTTTTATATATAAATCAGAATTAACCAATTTAAAATGGAAAATTTTAAAAGAAAAAAAAATCCCTCCCCTAAATTTTTTGAACCCCCTTATGATTCATCACCCCCAAACTCAATCCCAGCCTTCCCTTTGTGGTATGGTACCTTGCAGTACAATTTCAGAGATCCATACACTTGAACACAAGTTATTGTCTGGAAACTAGAAAAATGCTTGTTTTAGGCCCCTTTTTGGCCCCAAATTCCCAAACGTTTGGGGCAATTACCCCCAAACTCAAACCCAGCTTTCCTTTTGTGATATGGAACCTTGTAGTACAATTTCATAAAGATCCATACACTAACACACAAGTTATTGTCCTGAAACTAGAAAAATGCTTGTTTTTTGCCCCTAATTCCTAAAATATTTAGGCAATTACCCCCAAAATCAATCCCAGCCTTCCCTTTGTGGTATGGTACCTTACAGTACAATTTCAGAGAGATCCATACACTTGAACACAAGTTATTGTCTGGAAACTAGAAAAATGCTATTTTTGGCCCCTTATTCCTAAACGTTTTGGGCAATTACCCCCAAACTCAATTCCAGCTTTCCCTTTGTGATATGGAACCTTGTAGTTCAATTTCAGAAAGATCCATACACTTACACACAAGTTATTATCATGAAACTAGAAAAATACTTGTTTTTTGCCCCTTTTTTGGCCCCTAATTCCTAAAATTTTGAGGCAATTACCCCCAAAATCAATCCCAGCATTCCCTTTGCGATATGGAACCTTGTGGTACAATGTCAGAGAGATCCAAACACTAACACACAAGTTATGTCTGGAAGTTACAATAAAATGCTCCGCAGGGCGCAGCTTGATACGACCGCAGAGGTCGAACCCTGAACAGTTGGGGCAAGTATGGACACAACATTCAAGCTTGATACAGCTCTGAATTTGGATTGTGATTAAATATTTGACACAGCATAGGTTTCTGACACAGAATGAATGTGGTCTAAGAACTTAAAAATTTTAAATTGGACATTCACCTATTATGGTCCAATATCCAAAATCTAAATACATGGTTAGATTCAGCATATCAAAGAACCCCAAGAATTCAATTTTTGATGAAATCAAACAAAGATTAATTTTGGACCCTTTTGACCTCAATGTGGACAAAGTTGATAACGGGGCCCAAAAATCAAAATACATGGTTAGATTCAGCATATCAAAGAACCCCATATATTCAATTTTTGGTTGAAATCAAACAAAGTTTAATTTTGGACCCCGATTTGGACCAACTTGAAAACTGGGCCCATAATCAAAAATCTAAATACATGTTTAGATTCAGCATATCAAAGAACCATAAGAATTCAATTTTTGTTAAAATCAAACTTAGTTTAATTTTGGACCCTTTGGACCTTAATGTAGACCAATTTGAAAACGGAACCAAAAATTAAGAATCTAAATACACGGTTAGATTCGGCATATCAAAGAACCCCAATAATTCAATTTTTGATGAAATCAAACAAAGTTTAATTTTGGACCCTTTGGACCTCAATGTGGACCAATTTAAAAATGGGACCCAAAATCCAAAAACTTAATACACGGTTAGATTCAGCATATTAAAGAACCCCAAGAATTCAAGAATAAAACCCCATTGAAATTGGTCAAGAAATAAGCAATTTATACGAAGTATCTTCTTTTGCACAATACTGTGCAATTGAATATTTCTTGCTATTGCGCAATACTGCACAATTGACAATTTCTTGCTATTGCGCAATAATGTGCTATTGGATATTTCTTGCTATTGCGCAATACTGTGCAATTGAAGATTTCTTGCTATTGCGCAATACTGTGCAATTGAAGATTTCTTGCTATTGTGCAATACTGTGCAATTGAAAATTTCTTGCTATTGCACAATACTTATTATATAATAATTTACACATCCTGTTTGGTGTGTATCTCCTACCATATCATTATTATTTGCTTTTAAATATAAATCAGAAATAACCAACTTAAAATGGAAAATGTTAAAAGAAAAAAAAAAGGAAAAAAAAAAAAAATCCTCCCCCCCCCCAAATTTTTGAACCCCCTTATGATTCATCACCCCAAACTCATTCCCAGCCTTCCCTTTGTGGTATGGTACCTTGCAGTACAATTTCAGAGAGATCCATACACTTGAACACGTTATTGTCTGGAAACTAGAAAAATGAGTTTTTTGGCCCCTAATTCCTAAACGTTTCGGGCAATTACCCCCAAACTCAATTCCAGCTTTCCCTTTGTGATATGGAACCTTGTAGTACAATTTCAGAAATATCCATACACTTACACACTAGTTATTGTCATGAAACTAGAAAAATGCTTGTTTTTTGCCCCTTTTTTGGCCCCCAATTCCTAAAATTTTGAGGCAATTACCCCCAAAATCAATCCCAGCATTCCCTGTGTGATATGGAATCTTGTGGTACAATTTCAGAGAGATCCATACACTTGAACACAAGTTATTGTCTGGAAACTAGAAAAATGCTTATTTTTGGCCCCTTATTCCTAAACGTTTCGGGCAATTACCCCCAAACTCAATTCCAGCTTTCTTTTTGTGATATGGAACCTTGTAGTACAATTTCAGAAAGATCCATACACTTTCACACAAGTATTGTCATGAAACTAGAAAAATGCTTGTTTTTTGCACCCCAATTCCTCATATTTTGAGGCAATTACCCCCAAAATCAATCCCAGCATTCCCTTTGTGATATGGAACCTTGTGGTACAATATCAGAGAGATCCATACACTAACACACAAGTTATGTCTGGAAGTTACAAAAATGCTTATTTTGGCCCCTAATTCCTTAACTGTTGGTACCGTAACCCCCAAAATCAATCCCAACCTTCCTTTTGTGGTATTGAACCTTATGGTAAAATTTCATACAGATCCATTCACTTAAACTAAAGCTAGAGTGCGAAAACCAATGTGTCTTCGGACGAGGCGGACGACGCCAACGTCATACCAATATACGACCGCAAAAATTTTTGCGGTCGTATAAAATGCTTATTTTTGGCCCCTAATTCCTTTACTGTTGGTACCTTAATCCCCAAAATCAATCCTAACCTTCCTTTTGTGGTATTGAACCTTATGGTAAAATTTCATGGAGATCCATTCACTTAAACTAAAGTTAGAGTGCGAAAACCAATGTGTCTTCGGACGAAGACGACGACGTCATACCAATATACGACCAAAAAAAATTTAATTTTTGCGGTCGTATAAAAACAGTATAACATATTATATGTATCCTTGTATAAAAACATGTCTTGCATCCACTTCATTTGGCCTCTAGTGGACAGTTTTTCAAAATAAATGGGGGGAATGTATCCATGGGACACAGATGATGCCCACGCTTTCATCTAATGTTATAAAGGGACGTAACTCCAGAACAGTAAAAGTGACGCGTTGCCCAAATTCGTACTTGATTCGAGTTTTGTGGTCATAAGCATTGTGTATAAGTTTCATCACATTTGGTTCAGGTAAACTTGTTAGAGAATGGAAACGTAAAATTCAACTTTTTCCATTTGTAAAGGGGCATAACTCTAGAATGGTAAAAGTGACGCCACCAAAATTCAAACTTGATCGTGTTTTGTGGTAATAAGCATTGCGCAAAAGTTTCTTCACATTTAGTTGAGGCAAACTTGTTAGAGAATGGAAACGAAAAATTCAGCAACTTTTCCATTTAGAAAGGGGCATAACTCTAAAAAGGTAAAAGTGACCCCACCCAAATTCAAACTTGATATGGGTTTTGTGGTAATAAGCATTGCGTATAAGGATTATAACATTTGGTTGAGGCAAACTAAAGTTAGAGGACGGAAACTAATTTCGTAATTTCGGGAAGTACGGATGTACAGCCGGACAAGGTTAAAGCTATGGCGATACATAAGAAAAATCAATCTGCAATTACATGTAGACTTGTTGACAAATACCAAAATTACTTCCATTTAAATGTTATTTATGTCGATAGTTGTGTATCGTTTATTATAGGTGAGTGATGTTGAGATGCTAGGTTATTTAAACTGTTTAGGGATACTATATATGCATCTGTCATAAATTGACCTAGACTAGAAGTCATATCATTTAAACTTCATTGTAACTAGATAAGTGCTGCTATATATTGTACAAGTTTTGTAGTTTGGTCAATTTTGATTAGCATGAAAGAGGAGATGTTTCTAATAAAAACTCCCACTTTGTCTGTATGACAAGTGTCAATTTCATTGTCTTTGTCAGCCCATTAACTTGATAAAAATAAGCAAACAACTAACTTGACAAAACTAATGAACATCAGAGTATAAAATTTCTAAAGATATATCCAAAAATTTTCACATTTCAGGTGTACATATTTAATACATACACAAGCGGTGTATTGGGAATTTTATTTCAATGTATATAGATTTACTGGCAAACATGGCTACATTAAAGTTTGTGAGATGATGCCCTAGGAAAGAATTCAAGTTCCAATCTTTTCAAAAACACATATAAAATAAGGCATAGTAAAGCTCTTCTTTCAATTTTTATTTTGCTTTTCTTTTTTTTGGGTCCAATTAAATTACTGTGACAATCTAAAACATTAAATCAAAAAAGTGTTTATACATTTCATAGTAGATTTAAACAAATATAGTGAACAAATTTTGATATATTTGGACCATAGTCTGATGGATATGTTTAAGAGTCTCCGTTGATGCTCTCTTTGTCATACATGTACTCCCCAAGACCACATCCAACACGTTTGAGCTGGGTGATGTGATCGGAGATTTCCTTGATGGCATTCACTTGTTCTTCTAAGTATTCAGATTCCAGAAAATCGCACATCTGCAATAAAATTATTATGTATTAGTCTTCTACTTAAAAAGTTTGATTCTTCAAATTGTGATTAATGAACATCTTCAAAAACTTTATGCCAACCCTCTTCAAATATCATCAGCAAAAAAGAATTTTCTTTTATTTCCAATATTAAAGGCTGATATGAACATATACATCTAATTCACTTGCAAGTCTGTAACTGCACTAAAGTTCATGTTACAACATTCAGTTAATTGGAACTTCTAAAAATTATTTTTTACCATACATATATTTTATGTTTGCTCTATGGCATTTATGGAATATAATGAACAAATTGTTATATTTTTGGATCATAATTATGTTCATCAATGAAGACTTGCACATTTATAATTCACTATTAATCAGACCTTAAGATCCTTGAATAACTTGGAAAGTATTTCACACAACCATATATTATATTTGATTTTAACAGTTTCATTTGTTCTTTAAGAAGCCATCAAGACAATGGATACAACAGACTGCAAATGAAAATGACTTTCTAAAAGTGGACAGCTGATTGTTCAAGTACTCACAGCACAATTGTTTCTACATGTACTTATTGATATTTAGTAAATCGTGTTACATTGGTAAATAAATGTTTACCTGAGCGTCATTATGGGAATCAGCTGTTTTGTGAAGATCCAATAGTGACTGATTGACACTCTTCTCCAAGGACAAAGCAACCTGCATAGCATCAAGGGCTGTTCCCCATTCATCGCGATCAGGTTTCTGTAAAACAATATACAGTTTACTCATAGCCATCATATTCATTTGTAGCATAGTTAATACATATTATAAATATCATATAAAATGGCAAATAATGCAACAGTCATTTAAGTTTTTTTTCAATTGAAACATCAGAACTGACTACAATATAAGGTGGTCATCTGTCTCCTTACTCATGGTTTCCACCTTTATAAATTTTGTCATACACTGGGTAATGTATCAATTTATGTATCTGTCATGTTCAAAACTTGTGACTTTCTAAAATATCATAACAATCATTTTTCAAACTACAGTACCTTTTATTTACCAACATATCCCTCTTGTTTATCATTTGTAATTTTTCTCTTTAAAGCATAAATTAAAATGTTAGAAAATGTGTTTTTGAATAAAGACTTTATAATCAAAGAAAGTCAAACATTGAAATAATAATAACATGTGTTCAACTAAATCACAGTAAGATTGGTGCTTTTCTTACTTCTGACATTTTTTTTTTTACAGTGCAATGATGCATTAAAAAAAGAAAATTTGAATATTTTTCGAGAATGTTGCCTGTATTATCTAAATATTTGTTTTGTGGTTTAATTGATAGAGATTTTAATGTGTACATGAGATTTTAAATGTAACCACCAGGAAAATGTTATACTAGATTTTGTCTGCCAATCTCTAGTATACATTATATGTAACATGTCGTTGATTACACATTACAGATAAAGTGAACATACCTTTATGTCCTGGAGAACAATTCTACCTCCTCTCTTGTTCTGATATTTCATGAACTTTTCAGCATGTTCACGTTCTTCATCGGATGATTTCTTAAAGAACTTGCTGAATCCTGGCAATGCAACATCATCACGGTCAAAGTAATATGACTGAAATATAATATGAAATGTTTGAGGAATATATATATGTTTCAACTGATATCATTTTTTAAGTATGATACGCTATCCCAGGGCCCTTTATACTTGGTACCCGAGCCCCATGGGATAATGAATAAATTTTTTGAAGTTGAGCCATTTTTACTAATGTCCCAGGTTGTTCCTTAAGGTACATGAATGGTGTTGTTGTACAATACTTTATGTGTACCTCTTGCCTTCAGTCTTCCCTTTTTATCCTGTTTACCGAGAGGAAAGATTAATATAGTAAGGATTGGAATCTCTTATTATATAAATCCCTGCACAGAGACATTTAATCCTTACATTATTATTATTATTATTATTAAATGATTGCCTCCCCTATTAAACTTTATCGGGAAAAGTATTAACTTTTATAAATACACAAGACAAATTTGCTGCACCCGCATCAGAAAATAACATTCCTTTATCGGGAAAAGTATTAACTTTTATTTTCTCTCATTCATGATTATATAATGCTGTATGTTAGAATTATTATATTGTCATAAAAAATCATTGTATGAAATTTCAAAGCTGCATGGGTCAATGATTGGTGAATAAAGAGTATGCATTGTATCATATATCACTCACAGATCACGAGTTTACAAACGTGTAGGTCAAGAAGTAGAACTTCAACTATTACGCAGGTAATCGATCATTGTGTAAACAAGTCTTTGCGTTGTCATTCGATGTGACAATGAATGTTTAATGATTACATTGATATTTAATGTGTGCACATTGTACTCATCTATGTACATTTGCTATAAAGTGTAAATGACCTTTACTCACCATTGACTGATAACAGTAACTGGCATACAACTCCATGTTGATTTGGCGATTGATCCCTGCTTCGCTCTCGATGTGGAAGTTCTGGCGTGGTTGACTCTGTGCCATCTTGATGTTTTCAAATAATTATTTTCAAATGATGGTAAAAGGATAGAGTTCGAGTTAGTTTGCCCGTACGTTCACTGACGCAGCAACACAAATTTTCCCGATAAATGCTTCTTCCGGCAGTGTGCTTCTGCCTATATACCAACTTGTGACGTAGTTACCAACCAATCACTATTGAGATTTTCGTCTTATCATATTATCATGTGACTTCAGATTAACCAGGTTTACACGATATAACTACAACGTGAAAAATTAATTCCAAATATAAACATAATTACAACGTAAAAAAATAATTCCTAATATAAACATTTTATATAAACTACCAGTAAACATAAATCTAATTAAAAAAAACATTTGTGCTTTTGCTATACTTTTTCCCTCACTTTTCGTTAGAATCGAATAAAAAAGCTCAATATTTTATTTAATCTTTTCGACTGTTTGTCCTGACTGGAATGTTATTTTCTGATGCGGGTGCAGCAAATTTGTCTTGTGTATTTATACTCGTGTTTGAGACCATTAATTAAAAGTTTTGTTGGAAACATATTGTTTTCAAATATAACAACATTAATGTACTGGCCTAGTGGTGCTTATAATATATCCTTTTAAAAATATGCTTAATCAAATCAAATCACATCACATCTAAATTTTCAGCTAACTGAAACTTGATAAATATCCGTTTAATAATCAATGTTTACGAATAATTCCCTAAACTGTCAAAAGAATTAATTTTATAAAAAAAATATTTCGGCATGAGTTTTCTTTTATATATATTCAAACAACTGTAAAATAATAAACTGTAACCTTTTGTCCTATTGTTTATGTCGGACTTTCTCATTATGAGACTTTTTGTTCGTTAACCTTCTTCTTTTCTTCTCCTTAGATACGGAAAATCCACCAACATTTTGAACGTTACTTTTTGGCGTATGCCTACTGTGAGGATGCTTTAAAGTTAACAATGCAATATTAAATTTTTTTTTTTTTTATTTTAATTTATTTTTACGGACGCCATCACGCAGATATGTTCCAAATGTCGTAACTACAATCCCGTCCCCTTTTCCCCGAATGTGACCTACCGAATTAGACTTATTACCGGGTTTGTACTAACATGAGCAACATGACGGGTGCCACATGTGGAGCAGGACCTGCTTACCCTTCCGGAGCACCCCCAGTTTTTGGTGGGGTTCGTGATGCTCAGCCTTTAGTTTTCTATTTTGTGTTTTTTTTTTTTTGTCTGTTTGTCTTTTTCTTTTTTAGCCATGGCGTTGTCAGTTTATTTTCGATTTATGAGTTTGAATGTCCCTTTGGTATCTTTCGCCTCTTTTTTAAGACTGCGGTTTTTATGTCTTGCGATGATATTGCAATCTCATTGTTAATAACTTTATGGAACATTTGAAGTCTGGATTTTAATCTGCGTTCTTGTAAATTTTGCCAGTTTAGACCAATTAGCATTTCAGATACACTGCTTGTGTTGATATACCTGTTGCAGACATATCGTGCAGTTCTTCTTTGCACTTGTTCCAGTCTGTTTTTATTTTTTGAAGTGTGTTGATCCCAAACTGTGCAACATTATTCTAATATAGGTCTGACTGTTGTTTGGTATAGCTATTTCCTTTATTAATTTTACTTTTTTATAAGTTTCCCCAAATAAATGATAGGGATCTATTTGCTTTTTTGCTGATTGTTGTATATGTGTGTTCCATTTGAGATTCACAGAGAGTGTAATGCCTAGATATTTCTCTGATCGGACTTGTTGCAGAATGTGATCATGTATGTTGTTGTATATAACTGTGTTTGTTTTTACATAGAGTTGAGACTCTAAGGATGTTACCATTTGTCCTGATAGAATAACATAAGCCAATCTTTCTCCCCTTTTATAACTGCTTTGATGTCTTAATACTCATAGTATATGAGCTAACATAAGAACTATATAATACGATACAATAGTAATATATTACATGTCCGCTATCTGACCAACGTTGACTTAGATCTTCACATTTTAATACCAGTATAACTGTGGCCAGACTATGACACACTAAGGTCAGGAGAATGAAAACTGTTTACACACAAATAACTCATTGGCACATCATTCAAGACGGGCATATAAGGATTGATACTCTTGATTTTTGTAGGTAAAAGGTAGGCTCGGATCACAGGAACCAAATAGTTGATGACATTTCGGTATCGAATCCTATCAAATTTCATAAAGACCGAAGCTCTTAAATTGATTTGACAAAACTTCAAAACTGTGTGACAGATTAACTGAGTTTGTTAACTCCTTTCATCATGTCTATTTCCCCTTTTTGTGCTTATTTTTCAAAATTAATATTAAAAATGAGGATTTGCATTTGTAATTTGTCGGAGTTGAAAACAATTTAACTTCTTTATGCTATTATAAGCAATTTTCTTTCATTCCAACTAATTTATTTGAGTTTTACGGTGGATTGTCACAATCGTGTAGTACTAAGTCTTTGCTTTCCAAGAATAACAACTTTTATACCGAATATGCACAATTTCAACTTCTTTAAATAAACTGTGCGCCACGCCCCCGCCTGAATCCGCCCCTGGTGCTGTAAACTCGTTTTATACTGTTTCTTTGAAATGTGTGCATGTTAGATGTACCGCGTTATTGCATTTACAGTGTATATGGTACGATTTTAAAATATTTCGCTAAGCTTCTGTTACCCATACCCCCATATCATTGTTTGTGGACACCATCAATAACCCACCAATTGCGCGTTCAAATCTCCATCTTATTACTGAACGCCATTGGGCTAAGAAAAGGACTATCTCCACAGACAAAGGTACTAGAGTATAAGATTTTCAATCCTTCGGTTGAATGTTATTGCGTAAACCATTGTGGTATATCTGTTGAACAGAAGTACACAAAAACCATTCATATGAAATTTAGTACATTAGTTTATGAGATGTAAATATTTTACTGAAAACGTAAAGGTCATTTTCTAGAATACCCGTTTTATAAATATGACCACATATATATACATGTGACACGTTTATATAATTCGTCCTTACGTACTTAGTTTAAGGTTACTTTTATACATTTAAAATGAGAAAGCAAAATCTTTGTCGTATATTTAAGTAGCCTATTTTTAAACATCAATGACTGTATTACGAGACACTGCTTATACAATATAATTATGTATATATAATCGTGGAAGTAATATATTATCAATCCTTAACTTTAAGATAAGGGGATTTAAAAATACAAATACCTAGCTCAAATGATATAATTACAATTTTACAGATAAACATGCAATGGCCATGTTAAAGGTCAAATACAACAGAAAGGAATGTCTGCCCCCTCCCCCAGTGGCGGATTTCGGGGGCTTAGATGGCATACGCCCCCTTTTGATCAGAAAAAACACTATTTTTAAGCATAAAATCGTGCAAAACATCATTCGCCTCGATGCGCTCGGCAATATATTTACCCTATTCTGGATTATATGTGGTACGATCGCCAATAAGAAAACTATCCAACAGGTTTCCTAATGACTTGGATGGGATGTTAGCAGCTATAGGTCAACGTACGGCTGTCAACAATGAGATAAATCTATACCGAATCCTAGTAGTTAGTGAAAAAGGCGCCGAAATGACAAATTGTAAAACAATTCAAACGAAAAACCAACGGCCTGATTTTGGCAAGTATAATAAATATAACAGACAGCATGAAACTAACGACAACCACTAAATTACAGGCTCCTGACTCGGGAAAATCACACATAGAATGCGGCGGGGTTAAACATGTTTGTGAGCCCTGCCCACAAAAGTGTTAACTTGAAATCAAATGTAAACGTGATCGTGTATTCAAAGGATACACGTACTGTTGTAAAGTGTTTTGTCCTTAAAAATAATAAACCGTACAACGAATAGAAAGTATGTACTATAATACATTAAGATATCATTTGACAAATATATCCGGCTTTTTTCTAACTAGGATGTTAAAAAGCTTAACGGGTACACTACGTTATCTATATATGTGGTGTTTTTCTTAATTGTTGGTTTCGTCATTATTGGTCACGTTCGTAGGTAATAAATAATTGATGTTGGTCTTGTGAGTCAAGCCACATGTTAATGCGACTGTCTTGTGTCTTAAGTTTAGTCATATTATCAAAGGTTAAAGTTCAAGTATTGCAACATATTTGGATTATTTGGATTATTTGAAGGTTATTTCCGATCCCTAATTTAGACCTGATACTGTTCGGTCCAATAAAGATAAAGGAACAACAAGCATGGCTGGTAATGAAATTAAAAAAAATAAGATAACGTACTAAGCTTTAATGTAGGAGACAAGAGAAACATTAGGGAAAAAAACGAGATTTACATAAAGGTTGGCAATTCATGGTTTAAAAGGAAAATGAAAATTAAATGCCTTAAAATCTTGTGTAGAATTTGGTGTTCTGATAGTCTCCAACGAAATGTATACTCGTTTCTTATGCCAATTTTTATGTTTAATGTTTAAATATGTTATGTAAAATAATATTCATGTTTGTAAATAGAAGTCTAAGAAGATCAAGGGCATGTGTTATTTTGGTCGTATGAGTGGGGGGATATGGGTTCATCCTGACTGCGATATGAAATTTGGCACTAGGAAAATTGGAAGCATTTTCATATAAATCCTAAATAAAAATAATCGAGGCTATATAATTAAAAAGCATCAACCTTGATTTAGACCTCAAAGAATCCTCGCTAAGATTTTTCCTTCAAACTTTTGAAACACTTTTGTATTAAGAGGTGTTTCCAAATCAACCAAATAGAAAAAAAGGTTAAACTACATATAAAATGTACTGTTTATAATCTCAATAGTAAAGCTGTAAACAAAGTGATATACAGACAGCGAAGTGTAGATTATTGGGTTATCTACCAATTGATATCGTAAAATATCAACCGTGAGCCCCAATGTGAACGTTTTTTGGCGAGTGAGCGTTATTTAAGTTTAAAAAGTTACAAATGGGTGAAATATAAGCATAAAAAGGGACGAGAGTTATGATCGGGATAAATTCTTAGTGTTGAAGCCTTTTATTGGATGATAAAAGAAGACTTTGAAATCTTTTTAAAACCTTTGGTATGATGATCAAGGAGTTATTTTATTTTCAAGACTTTCATTCCCTCCTGATACAAACAATTTATTTTTATCTCAAG